AAGAATGTGGGTTCCAGGATAGCCTGGGCTACATGGGAAGACTGTCTCAAATGCATTTACATTATCCTAAATACAGAGATGGACGCACACACACATCTGGCCATGCTCTACCTGCAAAACCATGCTGCAGCTTCACAGACACACAGGGGTGGGGAGGAAGGGTAGAAGAAGGTCTACAGGAACCTGCAATGACATCACTGAAATTTTGAGAAAAAATCTGAGTGGCACAATCCAGCTCTAGTGAGGAACTGCAGTGATGGGAGTCGGGAGGTCTCTACCACTCTTCTATGGCAAAGATGAAGTACAATGTAAGAAGATATATTCTTTTTGTTGTTGTTTGTTTGATTTTTGAGACAGGGTTTCTCTGAGAAGCCCTGGCTGTCCTGGAACTCACTCTGTAGACCAGGCTGGGCTCAAACCCAGAGATCCACCTGCCTTTGCCTCCTGAGTGCTGGGATTAAAGGTATGCACCACCACCTGGTTGGAAAATAAGAATTTTTAATAAGGGTAAAAGGTTGCATCAGGACTTGTGATGTATAAACACTGTACCTAAACCACCAGCTAGTTGAAGCAAAGTGCTTAACACTTAAAAAGCCTGGAGCAACTCCACTTCCCCAGAGTGGTGAGTCAGAGGCAAAATGCTGAGACGCCCACTTAGGTCACATACCAGCCCTTCCTCCCTGGACTCTCCTTGAAGCCACTTCTAAAGCAAAGGTACAGGCTATGCCCCAGGCCCCACTGAAGCGCCTGAAAGTTCCTCAGAGCAGCCCAGGGCCTAAATTGCTCACACAACTCCTACTTTTCCTTCCCAGCACTCATCTCTGCAGCTCGCCCTGGCTCTCTTCTGTGACCTCAGACACAGGATCCTGGTTAGCACACTGCCCAGCCACTGCTGTCAGAAGTGTGAATGACTCAGGAGTTCACCTAACATACTTGAACTTGCAGGTGATACTCAGAATGCCGAGAGGGGAAGGGCCGACTGGCTGCAGAGGGTCCTTAGAACCCCGTGACTCTGACTGACCCCAGAAACAGAGGTAGCCCATCTCACATGCACCACACTTGTAGTGGGCCACAAGGTGAAAAGTATGCAATCAATCCACAGGACCCTTCTTAAACCGGTTGCAAGCCTGAGGCCTCAGACATCAGCTGTCTCAGGGAGAAAAACTGCCCCACTAAAGCCTCCTTTTCCTGGGGGATGAAAGGGAAAGGGATGGTATGCAGTTAACACCTGAAAGTTACCGTAGGTGACAAGTCCACAGAGGACTCCAGGCTAGGCAGCAGGGGCACCAGGTGCAAAGGACGTAAAGCCAAAGGAAGACAACCCAAATCCCTGTAAAGCGTGATGATAGCTAGGGAAAAGGAGGAATGAAACACTGAGTGGTGTAAAATGTTCTGGAGAGTTCAAAAGGGACAGCAGAAAGCAAGAGTCCCTTGTCCCCCATCACAACAGAGCTGTGCTTTAAATTAAACGCTCGCGTGACTGTGCAAAGTTAAACTGCAACTCTGGGACCTCAATGCAAGATTACAGGTATGGACCAGCAGCCCAGTTCTGGGACATCAGTTTCAAGAAAGCTGGAGAGAGGCACCAGCTTGCAGTGAGAGTGCACAAAAGAGCAGATGATGGTTTCAGGTTTCAAGTTAAGATGGCCAAGGCCAGGCAAACATACAGGGTTTCACTGAACCTCAAGACTCCTCAGGCCTCCCCAAAGCAGGACAAACAAGGATCAAGGGGACAAGACAGAGGAAGGAGCCTTCCTTGTTACAAAACATCCTCCAAATAAAAGGGTCAAAGCCATACTTAAAAAAGAACGCACTAGACCCAGGTGGTGGTGCATTTAATGCCTTTAATCCCAGCACTCAGGAGGCCCAGAACTCTGACTTCGAGGTCAGCCTGATCTACAAAGCAAGTTCCAGGATAGCCAGAGCTACACAGAGAAACCCTGTCTTGAAAAACCAAATAAACCAAAATAACTGAAAAAAAAAGACTGTACTAGAAAATGTACTGGATCTTATGGACACGTGACTTCCGGTATATTTTTATGAAATGTGCTGTTTGTATGGGTTAAAGGCTGGATACAGAAGTGATTTCTAGGACTAAGAGACCTTTCTCAGAGAAACTTGCCACGAGCTGGAGAAGACCCAGGCTCACGGGGAGACACTGGCCAACAGCAATGTGCTGTTTATAGCACAGCTTCCACAGCTAAAGCCAACCCCTCTGAGATCACAACTACTAAGTGGAGAAAAGTCCCAGACCCTTCCATCATACTGCACCAGATATACTTAGGAGCAATGTGTGTTCCCAGGAAATCAGTCCCCTCAGGCCCCAATAGCCCCTCCTTGGTGCAGCACTCCCAGGTAGGCCTCTTCAGAAGCAGTCCATCAAACCTTCCCTCTGGGTGGACATAGGTGTCCTCATCCTTTGGCAGGTGAGTGCCAGATGTCAAGCCAGGGGCCAAATGCTTGTGTGAACTAGCATTCACCAGCTAGTTTAGAGCAGCTCCCCCAAGACACCTTGGCCAGCTGGGTTCACCAGCAGAAGCTCAGACCTGGGCAATGTGTTAGAGCACAAGTTGGGGTACAGGCCATTTGTGGGTACAGGAAGGGGGTGATGAACAAATCAAATTGTCACAGGCTGCCTGTCAGTCCTTGACCCAAACCTCCAACTTCCTGCACCCAGTAAAGTTCAGCGGAGCCACCAGGAACTGAAGTGCTGCACTTTGTCTGATGGGCCCTGTCTGAAAATTGAACTTAAGAAAAGACGTGGAGGACAGTGACCTTGCCTCTAAAAGTTGCTATCTTGTGCAATGTGATCCCCAGGGAAAAGAATGACACCAAGTTCATGCATGTCTGTGATGAATCACCTGGGCTCCACAGCCCTCATGGCAGCACTACTCGTGGGAACTCAGCAAAGCACTTAAACTGACTAGGCTGCTACAAAAGACCATGTGTTTCAGAAACAGGTGAAGAGACCCACACCTGGGAACCCAGAAAGCATGAAGGTCATGCAGATTCCCTAAGAGCAGCCTGGCACTGCTCTCTAGCCCTAGAAACTAGTCTGATGGTAGGCTTTGGTGCTCAAACCTACTTCCTGCAGCCCAAATGCAGACTGTACACCCAAATCCTTTAGCCATCAATCTGATTTTAAGAAAAAAGAGCCAGGCAGTGGTACCACACACCTTTAATCTCAGCACTCATGAGGCAGAGGATCTCTGTGAGTTCCAGGACAGGCTCCAAAGCTACAGATAAATCCTGTCCCTGCAAAAAAAAAAAAAAAAAAAAAAAAAAAAAAAAAAAGGGGGGGGGGGGGGGGGGGGGGGGGGGGGAGGAG